CCCACCGAGTTGTATTTCGTGTTTCTTTGATGGTTTAATATAAGTTTTGGTTCTCAAAAATATAAAAGTTATTTTATTTAAAATGTAGTTTATACTTAGTTGAGAACATATGTGCTAAATAATAATTTTTCTTCCCATATATATATATATATATATATATATATATATATATATATATATATATATATGTAGGCTAATTTTCTGGTGCACTCCACTCTTAAAGTGTGAACCGTGTGCACTCATCTGGTGCGTTGATTTCGTGCATCCAACTGCCCAAAATAAACGTACACCCTCTTAGCATGCACCGACGCACATTCAGTTAATCCTTATGTATTTTAGACCGAATTGGACTTCACTACTTATCCTTACGCTAGTTTGCCGGTTTACACGGCTCTACTCTCGGTGATCCCTCCCCGACCCCAGGACGATGTCTTCTCAGAGTGAAGAACCTCCGGCGGCTGCCGCGGCATGTCATGCGACTACAGGTCCCAACCCCATGCTATTTTTTTTTTTTTTTGTGTTTTGTCGGCATTTGCGTATCCCATCCGTGCACTGCCTGGGTACGCAAATTTTGGTTTTTTTGCTATGGCGCCATTGGAAAGGTACCGCCGGAGGTAGCATTGCATGTGTATTATATTTGTATTTGAATGGTATTGTTTGGGGTCAAGCAACCTTGTTCGTATGAATGCATGCGTGTGGAACAACAAACCATACTTAAGTTGTATGCCAACTGTATGAATGCATTACTCTGTTGCAGTTCCTTCAATTTTTTTGGGCAGGACATGTCAAACATTTCAATGAACTGCATTATCATCCAATCATGCATACAGTTTTTTCTTATATTCCACAAATTCAATATGACAAGGCTACCTGATTCTGTCACCTATTCTGACAAAGTTTAAACCATCAACTTGAACTCCAATTTAGTTGAGGAAATGTACTGGGATTTTTTTTATATTATTATTTGACTTCATCTATGTTAACAATGTTACCGGGCACCTTTAATTCATTGCAGGGTTACTTGGCAATGATTTAGGTACCGGGGATGTATTGTAGAGCGCGACAACGCTTGACACTGTGGTTAAACAATACTGACTCCCCGATGTGGACGCTGACTTGCTACCAGCCATCGGTCAATGTTTTAACTCCCTAGCCGAAGGAATCCAATTCTACAAGGCCTATGGACAAGCAGGTGGATTTGACATCAGGCATAGCTCTGTTAAGCGAGATCGCGGTGGTGTAATTATTTCCAATCATTTAGTATGCAACCGATAAGGGGCCAAAGGAGGTGGGCGTAGCAAACGCATAGAAGGTAGTGTCAGCAGTGGTAGCCCCAAACAACGACGGAGACGGATTTCTAACAGAGTGGGGTGCGACGCTAAGCTTGGATTTAAGAAAGTCAGTAATGGGGAGTTTAAGGTGTCTATATTTGTCGACAAAGGGTAATCGTGCAGTGATCGAGGCATTATGTGGGGTGAATCCACCATGATCCATAACCATTAAAGCCCCGACCCAAGCTAAGAACAAAGGGAGTGGGAAACGTCTTAAAAGCAGCCGGGAGATAGCCATAGAGAACAGTGCTAAAGTTGGGCGAAAGTGCGGGTTGTGCAGTGAGTACGCTCGTCATAATGCTCGTAGTTGTCCTTCCAAGTGCAACGTGGATTAGTTAGTCATAACCTGTAACACCCCTGATTTTTAAGACATTTAAAACTTAATAATAAAGGTAATATCTCATTAAATCCCAAAGCGTAACATAAGTGTACGGGGTGCTATGCCACACCTGGGCTAGAGAACCCAGGTGCACAGGCTGTCTAACTACTATCCTCTTGAAATATAAATGCATAACATGGCACGCAGGCCGAAAGGGAAACTATACTACTTCTACGCTCCAGTTCTAGCGCGCTCCAGTGCTCTAATCCTCTGTGCCTGAAAGCCAAATATATCTGTTCAGCGAAAGATGCTGGTAACCCACACCAACGCGTTGAAATACAATACATATAGGGATATATATAGATATACGAAAACCATTTTGAGCATGAAGATATATCCTACGAACTCTAGCTTTTAAAACCGGGAATGACTCGACAGATAAGGCCAGACACACGCAACAGTTATAACAGTCATATGCAGTTCGCAATAGATAAGGCAGATAAGGCAAGGCATAAACAATGATCACCACCCATCATAATCAATCCCCAACATAAATCCCACAGTCACATTCCTCCAAGACACTCATAATCACAGCTCATCCATATCTCAACACATAGCACACTTTGTTGGCGCCACAGGACCAATCGCATGCCCATACATGAGGGTCAGCGCATATAGCTCTGACACGGCCCCGCAGCACCCTGCCCCGTATCGCAACACGGAGGGGTCGATCGCAACCGACCGATGAACCTCAGCTCATCATAGTGTTTGATCGCAACCAAACAGTGGACCGCAGCCCAAGAGAGTGTGTTACCTGACTGTAGCCAGGAATTCCCATCTGACTACAGCCAGCTTCTGAACCGCAGCTCAGGAAAATGTCATCTGATTGCAGCCAGGAATTCCCATCTGACTACAACCAGCTTCTGGACCGCAGCCCAGGATACCGTCATCCGACTATAGCCAGGAATTCCCATCTGACTGTAGCCGGCTTCTGAACCGCAGCTCAGGATAACCAATCCGATCGCAACCGAATTGGGGCAACACGCACACATAACACATAGCAAGCACATGCAGCCCACATTACACATTGGGAAGGGGGATAAAGCGTATAACAAACCTATGCGTGATCCACCACATACTAAGAATAGTCCTAAGGGGTTCATACTTCTTCCACCTAGGTCGACGGGATACCAATTCAGCTAGCATGCAATATAATAGACTCATAAACCTACGAACGGTACCCGAAATATCAAACTAGACATAGGCACGACAAACGGGGTCCGTTGGGACACCACGGGGATCGGGGAACCATCAAACGGGGAAGCCGGGGTCCCGAGGGGGGACAAATTCCAGCGGGTAGCCGGTGGGTGGTGGGCCACCCGCCGGCCACCCGCCAGTTTCTACTGTTCCGGGCAGCGGGTCGCCGGCGGGCAGCTGCCCGCCCGCCGGCCACCCGCTGCCAGGCGGTGGTTTACGGCTATGGGTAGGTGGCGGGTCCCCTACCCCCCACTGACTCTCTTCACACACTTTACGCCCCGGGAACCATTGCGGAACCCGAAACCATGCTTAGACACTTTACAACGCAATTAACGACAACACGTAGACAATTAACGGATCAATTACGAGAAAGGAACGACACATAACCTATCATGCTTTTCTAAATATAATCAACGCCCAAACAGGCGATTTCCCCACCCGATAATCCAAGAATAAGATCATACGATACGACCTAGGGTTCTAATTACTTTTATATCAACAAGAATACGATTCATCTTCTAATTGCAAGATTCGGTAAGAATAACACATAAACATCAAGGATGCCAATTAATCACCAAGAACATCATAATCATCAAGAACAACACATAATCATCAAAACCCCAATTAATCATCAAGAACATCATAATTATCAAGAAACTCCCAATATCAAGATTATCAAGATTCCTCATGGAATCATATTATCGACATCAATAATAATCATCATCAATCGCCATTTACAACAATATAGGGGGAAACCCTAAGGGGAAATCATAGCTATGAAAATAGGTTTTGTTGAGACATGGGTTACCTCTTAGCCTTAATTAATTCCTTGGCTATGAAGGATCTTTCTTTAAGCTTTCTTGCTTTCTTGATTTCTTCTAAGGGGATTCTTGGAGCTCTCCTGGGGTGATGGGCGCTTATGCGTGTGGGAGGGGGTTTTAGGTGCTCCCTAAGTTCCCTATTTATAGATCCAAGGGTTTATTTAGAGTTTATTCCTATTGGGTTTAGGGGTTGGGTTTATATAATTGGGCCCATGGGCTATGGTGGTCTTTTCCCTAATTAACCATTATAATTTATTCTTTCTCCTGGGTTATTAATTAATTAATTAATTAATCAGTTGGTTTTAGGGTCCGTAACACGGGGTGTTACACTCTCCCCCCCTTAACAGGAAGCTTCGTCCCCGAAGCTTGGCCCTGGTGACAAAAAGAAAGGAAAGTTTTCCCTTAGTTACCTGGAGTGAACAGCTCGGGGTACCGCTCCTTCATTGTGTCTTTAAGTTCCCATGTGGCTTCCTCGGTCCCGTGGTTGGTCCGGAGAACCTTTACCATTTCTACGACTCGGTTCCGGGTATTTCTTGTTTTGGTGTCCAGGATTCTTACGGGTTTCTCTTCGTATACTAGGGACTCGTCGAGGTCCACGGTCTCGTGTTGGAGTACGTGGCTTGGATCGTGTATGTATTTCTTTAGCTGAGATACGTGGAACACGTTGTGTACTCGTTCTAGCTCGGCGAGTAAGGCGAGACGGTAGGCCAAGTCTCCGATTCTCTCCACGATTTCGTACGGGCCGATGAACCGGGGGCTGAGTTTTCCTTTCCTCCCGAACCTCATTACCCCTCGAGTGGGCGAGATCCTTAGCCAGATCTTGTCCCCGAGGCTGAATTCGGCTCGCTTCCTTTTTAGGTCGGCGTACGACTTCTGGCGGTCTTGGGCGGCCTTCATCCTTTCCTGGATGCGTTTGACCTTAGCTATGGTGTCTTGTAGGTATTGGGGGCCCAGTGTTACCGGGTTGACCATATCTTCCCAGCATAATGGGGTTCTACATCTCTGACCATACAGTGCTTCATATGGTGCCATGCGAATGCTCGCGTGGTAGCTGTTGTTGTACGAGAACTCGATGAGGTCTAGGTGTTCTTCCCACGTTCCTCGGAAGTCGAGCACGCAGGCTCTTAGCATGTCTTTGAGGGTTTGGATGGTTCTTTCGGTTTGGCCGTCTGTGGTGGGGTGAAAGGCCGTGCTTAGCTTTAGTCGCGTCCCCAACGCCGCTTGTAGTGATTTCCAGAATTGCGAGAGGAACCTGGAATCTCGGTCGGACACAATGTTCCGGGGAACTCCGTGGTATTTCACTACCCGGTTTACGTAAGCTTGGGCTAGTTGCGTCATCGTCCATGTTTCTTTCATGGCAATGAACCGCGCTGTCTTGGTGAGACGATCCACTATGACCCAGATTTTATCCTTACCGGTTTTTGTTGGGGGTAGCCCTCCGACGAAGTCCATGGATATGGAATCCCATTTTCCTTGTGGTATTTCAAGGGGTTGTATGAGTCCCTTGGGTTTGCATCGTTCGGCTTTTACCCTTTGGCAGTTCAGGCACTTGGCCACAAAGTCTGCGACTTCCTTTTTCATATTCGGCCACCAAAATGATTTCTTTACGTCTTGGTATAACTTGTCACCGCCTGGGTGGACGGAGTAAGGGGAGTTGTGTCCTTCCTCCAAGATCTGCTGTTTCAAGTGGGGGTGCGTTGAGGGTACACACCACCTCCCTTTGTAGCGGAGGCTGCCGTCTGGGTGCGCTTCGAAGGGGCCCTCTTTTCCTCGAGTCAGGTCGCGGCGGATTTTATCTAGTTTCGGGTCCTGTTGTTGTCCTGATTTGATTTCCTCGAAGAGGGTGGGCACGGCCTGTGTGTTGAGTAGATAGGCATTGGGGCGAGTTTGTCCCTGCTCTATTATTTCCAAGTGTAGCCTTTGGAAGTCCCTGTACAGATGGTCCGGTAGGACCCACGTAGTGTTAAGGGAGTGATTTGTCTTCCGGCTTAGGGCATCTGCCACCACGTTGGCTTTTCCCTCGTGGTATTGAATGTCTAGGTCGTAGTCCTTTATGAGTTCCAGCCATCTTCGTTGTCTCATGTTTAGGTCCTTCTGAGTAAAAATGTACTTCAGGCTCTTATGGTCGGTGTAGATCTTGCATTGTACTCCATACAGGTAGTGCCTCCAAATTTTCAGTGCGAATACGATAGCGGCTAGCTCGAGGTCATGGGTGGGGTAATTTTCTTCGTGGGTTTTGAGTTGCCTGGATGCGTAAGCTATTACCTTGCCATTTTGCATTAGTACGCATCCCAACCCCTTCTTGGATGCGTCGCTGTAGACTTCAAACCCTTCCGATCCGGAGGGTATGGCTAGCACGGGTGCAGTGGTTAGTTTATCCTTTAATGCTTGGAAGGCCGAGATGCAGTCGTTGTCCCAACGGAAGGGGGTTTCCTTTTTCATGAGCTTAATGAAGGGTTGGGCTATCTTGGTGAAGTCGGATACGAATCTCCTGTAGTAGCCTGCTAGACCTAGGAAGCTTCGGACTTCCGAGAGTGAGTTCGGCGTGGTCCATTCTTTAACGGCGCGAACCTTAGCGGGGTCCACTCTAATCCCCTCCTTGGTTATCACGTGGCCCAAGAAGGCTACGCTGTCTTGCCAGAATTCGCACTTGGAGAATTTAGCGTAGAGTTGATTCTCCCTGAGGGTTTGCAGAGATATGCGTAGGTGCTTCTCATGTTCTTCTTTATTTCGGGAGTAGACTAGGATGTCGTCGATGAACATGATGACGAAGTCATCCAGGTGAGGTCGGAATACTCGATTCATGAGGTCCATGAATATGGCAGGCGCGTTAGTGAGGCCGAAAGGCATTACGGTAAACTCGTAGTGGCCGTAACGTGTCCGGAAGGCCGTTTTCTGGATGTCCGGTTTGGCCACTTGGATCTGGTGATATCCGGATCTTAGGTCGATCTTCGAGAACACCCCTGCCCCTTTGAGTTGGTCGAATAAGTCATCTATTCGGGGAAGGGGGTACTTATTCTTTATAGTAACTTGGTTGAGTTCTCGGTAGTCGATGCACAGGCGCATGCTCCCATTCTTCTTCTTAACGAATAGTACCGGTGCTCCCCATGGGGAGGTGCTGGGCCGAATGTAACCCTTATCTAGCAGTTCTTGGAGTTGTGTTTTCAGTTCCTTCATTTCCTTTGGTGCTAGCCGGTAGGGTGGTTTAGAGATTGGGGCGGCGCCCGGCATGAGGTCTATGGTGGACTCGACCTCTCTGGTCGGGGGTGCCCCGGGAATCTCGTCTGGGAAGACGTCGGTGAACTCGTTCACCACTGGGATGGCTTGTGGTTCGGGTGTTTTGGCGTTGAGGTCTTCGACTGAGCATAAGAAGGCCTCGTTTCCTTGGCCCAGATACTTCTTAATTTTCATCATGTTTATCAGCTTGATCCCTGGATCCTGGCGGGCACTGCGGTACGACACCCTCTTACCGTTTGGCCCTCGTAGGACCACTTTCTGCTCTCCGCACAGGATTTGCGCTTGGAACTTCCCTAGCCAATCCATGCCCAAGATTACTTGCATCCCATCCAATTGAAACTGGATCAGGTTACTGGGAAATTCCACTCCCTGAATGGTGATCATTACATGCTCGTACATGCGATCACATTTTATGACCTCGCCTGAGGCCACCTTGACTTGGAGTCGGACCTTGGTGGTGGCGTTAAGACCGAGCTGGGCGGCGAACTCGGTTGCTATAAACGAGTTGGTAGCCCCTGAGTCGAATAATATGACAGCTGGGGTGGCGTGCACTAGGAAGGTTCCGGAGACTATGTTGCTATCTCCGATCCTGGCCTTGCTTAGGGTGAGGATTCTCCCCCGGGTAGTCGGCGCGATGGTTTGGTCAAGTGGGGCGGTTTTGAGGTTCTTAGCTTCCTTGGCGAGAATTGGACGACTTCCTTCCGGTTTCCTTTTATACCCCAGTTGCATCCCTGGAGGCGGGTCCGCTACCTGTTGTAGCTGACATGCCTTGGCATAGGCCTCTCCGAGGGTCTTTGGTTCCTGGGCGGCCAAGGACCTCTGGTGTTCGGGCTTAAGGCCCGTTAGGAATTTCCTGACCTTGATCCCTTCGGTGGGTACTAGCTCGGGGGCGAGGCGAGCCAGTTGGCAGAATCGTCGGTAGTATTCTGAGACCGGGGCCGTCCCCTGTCTTAGATTGAGGAATTCCTCGCACATGGCGGCCTTCAGGTGGTTGGGGAAGAACTGTTCTCGTAACTGCGTCTTTAAGCTCTCCCAGTTGAATCCGGGGTCTTGCTCGTACGTAGGCCCCTCGCGGGCCCACCAGTTGTCGGCCTCGTGCTTGAAATAGAAGGAGGCTATCCTGACCCGGTGGCGTTCGGGGCATTGGGTCGCCCTGAACACCTTGTCGAATGTCTCAATCCATTCCTCGAGGGTTGTGGGGTCTTCGTCTCCCGAGAGGGTGGGTGGTTGATGTGCCAAGACTTGGTGGTGGATTTCCAAGTTCTCGTCTGTTGGCAGAGGTTGGGGTACGATAGTACTTAGTGCCTGGGCAATTTGGGTCAGGCTTTGTAGGGCTTGAGTCAAGATTTCTTGAGAGGGGTGTCCCGGTGCTCCTGACTGTTTCTTCTTGGGTGTCATTCCTGGCGATTAAAGGTCGATATTATTTTGTGTTTCAATCTTGATATAATAAGCGGGGAAGGGATTCCTAATATTAGAGAGGGATAAAGTGAGAGGAGGTTATGTGTAGGTTTCACAATCTCACCGCGCGTCCTAAGATTCCTGAGTCCTATGTTCCTAAATATCTAGAGTTCAAGCTTAATGTCCTAAAGTCCGGTCTTAAGAGTCTTTCCTAGGGTCAAACTTAGGCTCTGATACCAACTGTAACACCCCTGATTTTTAAGACATTTAAAACTTAATAATAAAGGTAATATCTCATTAAATCCCAAAGCGTAACATAAGTGTACGGGGTGCTATGCCACACCTGGGCTAGAGAACCCAGGTGCACAGGCTGTCTAACTACTATCCTCTTGAAATATAAATGCATAACATGGCACGCAGGCCGAAAGGGAAACTATACTACTTCTACGCTCCAGTTCTAGCGCGCTCCAGTGCTCTAATCCTCTGTGCCTGAAAGCCAAATATATCTGTTCAGCGAAAGATGCTGGTAACCCACACCAACGCGTTGAAATACAATACATATAGGGATATATATAGATATACGAAAACCATTTTGAGCATGAAGATATATCCTACGAACTCTAGCTTTTAAAACCGGGAATGACTCGACAGATAAGGCCAGACACACGCAACAGTTATAACAGTCATATGCAGTTCGCAATAGATAAGGCAGATAAGGCAAGGCATAAACAATGATCACCACCCATCATAATCAATCCCCAACATAAATCCCACAATCACATTCCTCCAAGACACTCATAATCACAGCTCATCCATATCTCAACACATAGCACACTTTGTTGGCGCCACAGGACCAATCGCATGCCCATACATGAGGGTCAGCGCATATAGCTCTGATACGGCCCCGCAGCACCCTGCCCCGTATCGCAACACGGAGGGGTCGATCGCAACCGACCGATGAACCGCAGCTCATCATAGTGTTTGATCGCAACCAAACAGTGGACCGCAGCCCAAGAGAGTGTGTTACCTGACTGTAGCCAGGAATTCCCTTCTGACTACAGCCAGCTTCTGAACCGCAGCTCAGGAAAATGTCATCTGATTGCAGCCAGGAATTCCCATCTGACTACAACCAGCTTCTGGACCGCAGCCCAGGATACCGTCATCCGACTATAGCCAGGAATTCCCATCTGACTGTAGCCGGCTTCTGAACCGCAGCTCAGGATAACCAATCCGATCGCAACCGAATTGGGGCAACACGCACACATAACACATAGCAAGCACATGCAGCCCACATTACACATTGGGAAGGGGGATAAACCGTATAACAAACCTATGCGTGATCCACCACATACTAAGAATAGTCCTAAGGGGTTCATACTTCTTCCACCTAGGTCGACGGGATACCAATTCAGCTAGCATGCAATATAATAGACTCATAAACCTACGAACGGTACCCGAAATATCAAACTAGACATAGGCACGACAAACAGGGTCCGTTGGGACACCACGGGGATCGGGGAACCATCAAACGGGGAAGCCGGGGTCCCGAGGGGGGACAAATTCCAGCGGGTAGCCGGTGGGTGGTGGGCCACCCGCCGGCCACCCGCCAGTTTCTACTGTTCCGGGCAGCGGGTCGCCGGCGGGCAGCTG